GGCTACAGTGACGTAAATCTTTATTCCAAGGACTTAGAAGGTAGAGGTAAGAGGTTCTCTGTGAGTTTAAGGCCAGCGTAGTCTACATTGGAAGTTTCAGGCAAGCCAGAGCTATATAGTGTATAGTGGGACTTTTTCTTAAGGGAAAAAAAAAAAGCATGTACTCATACAAACATTAATGAATATGGATGTTAGGGCATAAGGATATCAGGGTAAGAAAAAACGGAAGTCAAATTGTTCATTCTAGCAAGTTTCACGCCTGTTAAACAGCCGAATTCTGGGATGCGGTGGCATTAACCTGTAATCTCAGCACTCCTGGCTAAGGCAGAAGGATCTAGAGTTTGAGTAAGCTTGGGCTACACAGCCAGACCCTGACTCATTAAAAAAACAGACAAGTGAATAAATAAACAGCCTCATCACAAATGACCCCTGTAGCCAATCCAGTTAAAACGGCTTGTCAATTTTAACCAAATAATAAAAATTACTTAAGAGCTTACCCAGGGCTGAAGAGATGGCTCAGAGGTTAAGAGCACTGGCTGCTCTTCCAGAGGTCCTGAGTTCAATTCCCAGCAACCGCATGGTGGCTCACAACCATCTATAACGAGACCTGGTGCCTTCCACGCCAGCAGTACATTGTATGCTTAATAAATAATTAAATCTTAAAAAAAAAGATCATACCCATATATGAGGTCCTCTTCACACGTTTGGCATTTGTGATTCAAACTATATTTTTTCCTTATATATTTCCTAACAACTTGATAAATTGCAAATACAATGAGATGTTCCTTTTTAAATTCCTGGCAAATCACTACATTCTTTAACTCATCAATCAAAAGTATAGTGTATTGTAACCAAGATAACTTAATTCTACTTTATCCAATCAGCAACTGATTCTGCAGCTACAAGTGTAATGTCCAGTACATCCTTTCCAAACAGGTCCAAGCCTTTTAGACGCAGGGCCTCACATAGCCCCAACTGGCCTCCAATTTGTAACTGAACTTGTGATTCTTCTGCTTCCATCTCCCTGACACACCATTATAGCCAGCTGATGTGGTAATGGGTACCTGGGTACTAGAACCCAGTGCTTCCTGCATGCTAGGTGAGCACTCTACCAATTGAGCTACATACCCAGCCAGATTTCTTAAAAATCATCACAAGAAGATGCCATCTGAACAAAATCTACAGTCTTGGAATAGGTTAGGTTAATATGGAAAAGATAAAACTTTCCAACCACCAATTTCCTAATGGTAGGAGAAAATAACACCCAGCACAGACATAATATCCAAAAGGCACTAGCACTGTGTGAAACAGAAATCCTAAAACATACCTATACATTGCCATACAGCTGCAACACATAGATGTTAAAGACTACACCACTTGGCAGCTTTCATATCCATTCAAATCATGTACAGGAAAGGATTAAGAATGTAGGGACTAGCTGGGCAATGGTGGAGCATAGGCCAGGCAGGGCTGTTACACAGAGAAACCCTGTCTGGGGGGGGCACAAAAAAATCCAATCCCTGACTTCAAACTTTACTACAGAGCTACAGTATTGAAAACAGCCTGGTATTGGCATAAAAACAGACAGGAGGACCAATGGAACTGAATAGAAGACCTGGATATCAATCCACACATCTCCGGGACACCTGATCTTTGATAAAGAAGCAAAATATATCAAATAGAAAAAAAGAAAGCATATTTAACAAGTGGTTCTGGCATAACTGGATATCAACATGTAGAATGAAAATAGACCCATATCTATCACCATGCACAAAACTCAAGTCCAAATGGATCAAAGACCTCAACATAAAGCCAGCCACACTGAACCTCATAGAAGAGAAAGTGGGAAGTACACTTGAACACATTAGCACAGGAGACCACTTCCTAAATAGCAGCACAGACACTGAGAGAAACAATAAATAAATGGGACCTCCTGAAACTGAAAAACTCTGTAAAGCAAAGGACACGGTCAACAAGACAAAACGGCAGCCTACAGAATGGGAAAAGATCTTCACTAACCCCACATCAGACAGAGGTCTGATCTCCAAAATATACAAAGAACTCAAGAAATTGGATACCAAAAAAAATCACATAATCCAATAAAAAAAAAAAATGGAGTACAGACCTAAACAGAGAACTCTCAACAGAGGAATCTAAAATGGCTGAAAGGCATTTAAGGAAATGTTCAACATCCTTAGTCATCAGAGAAATGCAAATCAAAACAACTCTGAGATTCCATCTTACACCTGTGAGAATGGCCAAGATCAAAAACACTGATGACAACTTATGCTGGAGAGGTTGTGGGGAAAAGGGAACACTTCTGCATTGCTGGTGGGAATGCAACCTGGTACAACCCCTTTGGATGTCAGTGTGGCGATTCCTCAGAAAATTAGGAAACAACCTTCCTCAAGACCCAGTAATACCACTTGTGGATATATATCCAAAGGATACTCAATCATGTCACAAGGACATGTGCTCAACTATGTTCATAGCAGCTTTGTTTGTCATAGCCAAACTCTGGAAACAACCTAAATGCCCCTTGATTGAAGAATGGATGAGGAAAATGTGGTACATTTACACAATGGAGTACTACACAGCAGAAAAAAATGACAGCTTGAATTTTGCAGGAAAATGGATGGAGCTAGAAAACATTTTGAGTGAGGTAACCCAGACAAAGAAAGACAATTATCACCTGTACTCACTCATAGGTGGTTTTTAAACATAAAGAAAGCCAGCCTACAAACCACAATCCCAGAGAATTTAGACAACAATGAGGACATTAAGAGAGACTTACATAGATCTAATCTACATGGGAAGTAGAAAGTGAAAAAGACAAGATCTCCTGAGTAAATTGGGAGCATGGGGACCTTGGGGGAGGATTGAAGGGGGGGGGGAGGAGAGAGGCAGGGAAGGGAGTAGAGAAAAATGTAGAGCCCAATAAGTATCAATAAAAAAATGTAAAAAAGGGCTGGAGAGGTGGCTCAGCGGTTAAGAGCACTGACTGCTCTTCCAAAGGTCCTGAGTTCAATTCCCAGCAACCACATGGTGGCTCACAACCATCTGTAATGAGGTCTGGTGCCCTCTTCTGGCCTGCAGGCATACACACAAACAGAATATTGTATACATAATAAGTAAATAAATAAATATTAAAAAAAATCAGTTTAAAAAAATGTAAAAAATAAAAAAAGAAAAACAGAAAGAAAGAAGACAAAGAATGCAGGGACTAATGGAATGTAGTAGTAACTAACTTGGCAAAATCCTGGAAACAGTCTACAATGCAGACTCTGCTACCTATAAATTAAATTTTACCAAATTTATCTCCCAAACAACTTAAAATACAAAGCCTGCACTAGACAACATAACTTATCTGGATTCTTAAGTAATTGACCACATTTTAAAAATAAATTGAAAGGGCGGTGGTGGCACGTGCCTTTAATCCCAGCCCTCAGGAGGCAGAGACAGGTGGATCTTAATGAATTTGAGACCAACCTGATCTACAAGAGCTAGTTCCAGGACAGGCTCCAAAGCTACAGAGAAACCCTGTCTCGAAAAACCAAAATAAATAAATTGATAACCCCTAAGTCAACCGAACCTAAAAAGAAGTGAGCTCAGCTCACTCCTAACACTACTTCACCTAAGAGCTACATTTTACCTTGACTTTCTTTATGACTTGGGCTAAGTCTTTCAAATGAAAACTATAATGATGTTTGCACGTGCCTGATTACTGAAATTTAATCCTGATATGAACATGAAGTACTCAAGGCTGGACCTATGGAGCAGAAAAATACTGAATGACAAACATTAACTGACATGTAACATAAGCCATGTTTTAACCTTCATTTTTATTCATGGGGGAAAACACCTATAATGCCCCAAATTCTACATGACCAAAATACTGAAAAAACAAAAACTGAGGACCTCTATACATTTAGAAAATGTGAGCCAAAAAAAAAAAAGCTTCAAACTGCCATTTCGCTGCTTTTATAAAGATAACTGCTGGATCACAAACAAAAATGTGTAACTTGGCATCTGATGAATCGAAGTAACAAGCAATCTACAATCTAAAAATTATGCAGATAAGCCTATCATTTCATGTCACTAATTTGTATACCGACGTGAAGGAGTAATCTTGGTTTTGCCTGACGAGCATTAGGAAGATAAATTCCTGCCTTAGAGTAACATCCACTCAGTCCATTCATCTCGGGAGTTTAGGGTAGTTTCCCAACAGCATCTCCGTAGGTTTCCCTGTGGTACTCATTCACACATCCAACTGCCACTAGAGCGAGAAGTAAATAAACAATGTTTACTTACGCAATTATTTATAACAGAATCCTGGTCAAGAATGCAAAAGTAAAGTAAGTCGGGCATACCCAAAGGAAACGGCACGTTTGTATAATCCAAATTCACCCTGAGCTGACCACTATGGAAACCAGAGGCCTCCCACACGGGCTCGTTTTTACTACCACTCTTGATTTTCAGAAGGAGTAATGTCAACTCAACGTTTTACCAGTACAGAAGACAGAAGTTCCTGTAACCTCTCGTTCCAGATTCTCAAAGGCTGTTTATAAGAGCTGAGCTAGAGCAACGCCCCCCAAAGCACCCCACAAGAATTAAACACCCCAAACGTTACGTGGGCCCACAGAAGGTTCGAAAAGGCAATCTACCTTCATTAGTCATAGGGACCACGGGGTCAGAGACCAGGAAGGTGAGATGGGCTTGGGGGTAGGTAGCAAAGTGAAATCTAACCCCAGAAATCACAACACAGGCCGCAGCCTAAGAGCTGAAGCTGGCGGGAAGTGAGCTCCCTTTCCGTTCCCAGGGGAAAGTCCAGGCCAGAGCGGCGACCACACTGTGGACTTACAAGGCGCCAACAGTGCATGCCTACGGACGCGCTGGAACCGCTGAAGGCTCGGCTCGGGAAGGGGAGGAGATCCCGGCAGACGGCCCTGGGAGAGGACTGAGCTTGGGAGCAACGGCAGCGTCTGGACCAAGGGAATTACCTTCACTGTGACGACAAAAAAGTGTCTTCAGGCTCCGGCGATGGTCCCGACTGCGCAATAGGTGGTGTCTTTCCCGCTTATCCCTCAACAGCAACAGAACCAGCTCCTTCAGCCAGTCGCCATTTCCCGCCTACCGACCTGCTGCACCGCACGGACAGGGACCCGGATGGAAAGCGGCCTCTCCGCGCAGGCGCCCTGGCTTCCTCCTCCCCCGCCCGCCGCTCTCCGGCTAGGCGGGAGGGAAGGAATGCAGGAGGCCTGGGCGGCAGCGGGGGGGAGGGGGCTACTTTCACTTCCGTAGAGAGGGTGAAGTTTCTGCCGCCCTAGGGAACTCGCCGGCTCGAATTCCTGACAAAACAATAAAAATAAAAATAGGAAAGACGAAAAAGCGAGCGCAGGGCCTTAGGGTCCACGAGTTGGACGGGACGCAGCTACTGAGTGGGGCACGGGGCCTGGGAGTCGTTTGTACTTCGGGGGCCTCCGTAGCGGGCTGCAGGGTGGTCGCAGGGGGCGTAGGGAGGAAAGCGTTAGCAGCGGAGGCGGGGACGCCGGGAACGGTTTTCCCTACCGCCGCTAACGGAACCGCCTAGGGCCGAGCGACGAGGGGAGCGCGCCCACGCCGCGGAGGCGGGGTTTAAGAACGCGCCGAGCGCCCGGAGGCCAGGGTTAGAGACTGGGCGGCGGTGGGTGGGGCCGGCTGGAAGGGGCGGTGCTAACGGCTTGGCGCGCTGGAGCCGGGGGCCAGGGACCCAGCCTGGTCCGGATGCTTTCAGGATTTCTTCAGGCTCCCCGAGCTTCTCTTTTTTGTTCACTTTCCTACCGGCAGCCGCTGTCGTTCTCGGTCCTGTGATACAAACCCAAACCCTTCGCTTCTTCGCGATGTGGACCGTGATCCTGTATGCTGAAAACTCGGATCTTTCAAATGGATTTTCACATGCAACTATGGGCTCGAAGCTCGAGAAAATATTCTGTCCAGATCAGCGGTTCTCAACCTTCCTAAAGCTGCGGACCTTTAACCCAGTTCCTCGTGTTGTGGTGACCCCCAACCATAAAATTGTTTTAGTTGCTACTTCCTAACCAATTTTGGTACCGTTATGAATCGTAATGTAAATATCTGTTTTCCGGTGGTCTTAGGCGACCCGAATGAAAGGGTCGAGACCCACAGATTCAGAACACTGATCTAGCTAGCGGATTTAGCTTCGGACTGAAACTGCAAGCCGCTTTCATATTTCTGTAAGAAATGTTTATCGGAAACGTACTGTGTAAAAGGAACATAACAGTGAACTAGGGAAAACAACTGCATTCCCAAGTTAACACTCCACCAAAGAAAACAGTTCTAAGGGTTTGATAAGGTGGGAGAAGTGGAGAAGCGATGTGGTCGCGCTAGCTATGGGCTCTGGGGAGCTTAGACTTAGTTAAGCTTAAATTTAACCAAGTAAGCCAGGTGGTGCGCACCTTCAAGTATTGGTTGGCAGAGGCAGTCAGGAGCTCTGTAAGTTTGAGGCCAGCCTGGTTTACAGAACAGAGTGAGTTCCAGGACAGCCAGGGCTACACAGAACTGTCTGGAAAAAAAAGACAAGAAAAACTTCACTAAGTGCAGTGTAAATGATGGTTTGATTTTGTAAGAGCTGTGTTCTTAGATCAAGGATACAAGCAAAAGTTCCACGGCAGGAATTGTTGGTGGTAGGGGATAATAGCAGATGAGGCGGAAAGGTAAATGTATAAGTGTACTTTTTTTAAAACTTTTTTGCTCCCCCCCACCTCGCCCCCCCCCCCCACAAACTTTCTGTAGCTTTGGGGCCTGGCCTGGAAATTGCTCCACCGACCGGGCTGACCTTGAACTCAGAGATTTGCCTGTCTCTGCCTCCTGAGTGCTGGGGTTAAAGGCGTGTGCCACCACCGCCCCGCCTAGAGTGCTCTTATAAAGTTTTTTCTTCAAAATATGGAACAGGTGGTTTGTCTTCAGAAGAGATCCTATCAGAGCTAAGAGTCCACTTGCAATCTTCCCAGCATAAAACTGGTTTGAGACTGGGCATGGGGGCATGGGTGACATTCAGAATTACTGAGGCAGGAGGTTAAAAAATTCCAACCAGCCCAGGCTACATAATGCTAACCTGGCTCCAAAAGAAAGAGAATACAGCATCGATTGCAAAACGATGGTGATCAAAGCATAGAACAAGTTGGGAGTCCATATAGTCATAGGCTCCTGAAAGACCAACTGAAAATCATAAAATAATTCATGGTTATCTACTGCCTATGTTGGAAAGTAATAGAATGTAAACTAAAAAATAAATTATCCCCATTGAGTACTAAAATTACTTTGTATACATTTTTACACACACTCACACACACACACACTACTGTTGAATGTGAAGGTCAAAAGACAATTATGTGGTTCTCTCCTGCTTCCTTGTGTGATCCAGAGATGACACATGTCATCAGGCCTGCGCAAAAACTCACAGAGATCTGCCTGCCTCTGCCTCCCAAGTGCTGGGATTAAAGGCATGCGCCACCACCGCCCGGCCTAAGACTTTTTAAAATGTATTTGGGTGCTTTATATGCGCTATGTGTGTGGCTAATGCCCAAGGAGGTCAGAAGAGGGCGCTAGACCCAGGACCTATGGAAGAATAAATAGAAATGCATACATACGTAGTCTGTAAATGCATGTTTTAGGTTTTAGAAGCATATAAGTTTGAAAAAGCTACTTTTTGGAACTTTTTAATTTTTATCTTAAAAAGTTTAGGGGTATGGCGAAATGGCTCCCTGGTTAAGAGTTCTGGCTGCCTCCTCCAAGTGCTGGTATCAAGGGCATGCACCACCACACTCAGCACTGGCTTTGGTTTTTCAACACAGTTTCTCTGTAGTTGAGCTTGGTCTCAAACTCCCACACATCTGAGGATGACCTTGAACTTCTGGCCCAGCTGCCTCTACCTTGCAAGGGCCGAGATTACAGACAATGTGACATCATACATCAATTAAAGTTTCTGGGGAAAAATGACATGATATTTACAAAATAATGACATCATCTCAGATCTTTATGGTTCAAGTGGGATGTCCCTGTTGTGACTTGACTAAGAATGTCCCCAATAGGCTCATGTACTTGGTCCCAAGTTGGTAGCAATGTTTGGGGAGGTGCAGGCTTCTGAAGGAAATAAGTCACTGGGTGTGGGCTTTGAGGGTTTACAGCCCTACCCTGATTCCAGCTGGCCCTCTGTGCTTCCTGTGTGTGGTTAGCCAACTTCCCTGTCCTGTCACCACCATTCAGAAGACTCTAGTCTTTTGAAAACAAGTGTAAGCTCCTAATCTGCTTTTAGTCCCAGTATTTTATCACAGCAATAGAAAAGAAACTGACTCGGCTCACCAAACAACACAAAACAAAACCTTTGAATCGCCACTGACACCAAAGGGAGAAAATTCCACACTTGACCTTCAGGTGACAGTCAATTTCAGGTTGACTAAAAACTTCAGGCTGTCTACATAAGGTGCACAGGAAATAAATTCTGTGTTTAGATGAGGTCCCACCTCCACAACAGCTCATTGATACATGTGGAAATATTCCAGTATCTAAAAACACTAAATCACTTTTAGTCCCAAGCATTTCAGATCACTTCACCCATATAAGAAATTTATTTTTGCCAGGCGGTGGTGGCGCAGGCCTTTAATCCCAGCACTTGGGAGGCAGAGGCACGCGGATCTCTGGGAGTTCGAGACCAGCCTGGTCTACAAGAGCTAGTTCCAGGACAGGCTCCAAAACCACAGAGAAACCCTGTCTCGAAAAACCAAAAAAAAAAAAAGAAAAAATTTTTAGTTGAATCATATGGTATATTTGTAATGGTAAAAGTAAAATGCTGCAGGTTCCTGAGTGAATGCAGCAGGCAATGGGCCATGAGACCACCACGCTGCAGGTCCCCTAGCAGGGGCAGGCAGCAGGCAGTGGATCCTGAGAGCAGCCGGTCCCAGGCAGGGACAGCACAATTCCCCAAGTGGCTGCAGTGGGCCATGAGGGACAGCGAGTCCCACAGAGGAGAGACAGACGAATGGGCATGCCACAAGACCAAACTGCAGGTCTCCGAAGGTGGCTGATCCAGGGCAGGGAAGCCACACAGCAGGCAAGAGACAGAGACACAGTTAGGCATGCCATGCAGAGTGAGGTTGGATATTTATTTAGTGGGTTATGGAGAGGAAAGTGGAGAAGGGCAGAGACAGGCAGAGAGAGAAAAAGAAGGGGGAAAGGGAGAAAAGGGGAGAGACAGAAGCTACCTCTTTGAAAGGGAGACAGAAAAGGAAGGGACTCAGGCAAGATCAGCTTGCCTTGGCAGATGGGGGAGGGAGTGGGCGTGGCTTGTCTCTGAAAGGGATAGAGCAGACCATTATAATATTAACTTCACAACTCATCATTTAATCCATGGTGTAATCAAGTTATTAGTGCAATAATATATTAAATACTGAGATATCCAGGCTGTCATTTTGCTGTGTAATGACTTGACAGCAATGAAACTTTATACAGTCCAAACTAGATTTTTTTTTTTTGGTTTTTTGAGACAGGGTTTCTCTGTGGCTTTGGAGCCTGTCCTGGAACTAGCTCTGTAGACCAGGCTGGTCTCGAACTCCCAGAGATCCGCCTGCCTCTGCCTCCCCTGCCTCCCGAGTGCTGGGATTAAAGGCATGCGCCACCATCGCCCGGCCCAAACTAGATTTTTCTCTCATCCATTTATACCTCAGTGTTTTAGACTTTGGTAAAGACAGGTTTTCTTCAAACCCAAGTATAATCCAGATGGTCTTCAATATTTCATATTCAAAATTCCAAATTCAATTTTCATACCTATTCAATATTCCATACCAATTCAATATTCCATACCTATTCCATATCCATTGGATTCACCCTACTATCTAAAAAGAGAAAAAAGTCTATAATGTATATACTGCCACTTTTGTTAATGTCTCCTAAACAATATAATGTAATAATTATTTACGCAGCATTCAGAGTGTATCAAGGACTGTAAACAACCTAGCAATCACTTAAAGATTTGTGATGGCCGGGCGGTGGTGGCGCACGCCTTTAATCCCAGCACGCGGGAGGCAGAGGCAGGCGGATCTCTGGGAGTTCGAGACCAGCCTGGTCTACAAGAGCTAGTTCCAGGATAGGCTCCAAAGCCACAGA